AAGTGTGGGCTGGGTAACTTCATGACCTGAGTCCCAGTGCTAGGACCCAGACTTTAAAAAGCTGTAATCCTAGTCCTGGGGAGACAGAGACAGGAGGATCCCTGGGGCAGTAGAGTTTACTGCTCTGTCTGTTCATTACATATGGTGATGAATATGTAGGGTGTCCAGGACATGTTGCACAGTGTCCTAGAGGGGCAAGGCATATACAGTACCTGGTCCTCTAGACCCGGGAGAAGGACTGTGACACAGCCTTTCCCTAACCCTGTGGTAGGCACAATTTTTAAAACAGACTTGGTTTATTTTATTTGTATGTGTGCTTTGCCTGCATATATGCATGGGTACGCCGTGCATGCCTGGTGCCCTCAGAAGTTAGAAGGGAGAGTTGGGTCCACTGGATCTGGAGTTGGGATGGTTTGTGAACCACCATGTGGGTGCTGGGAACCAGACTGGGGTCCTCTGCAAGAGCAGCTGGTGCTCTTAACTGCTTTGGTGGGGAAGAACTGGACATAGAGAGAGTGGGGGAGAGACAGGCTCAGCAGAGCACAAGAGAGAAGAGACTGAGAGAAAGAGCAAGTGATGAGAGACTCAACGACAGACAGAAATAAAACTTAAGGAAGTATCTGATGGACACGGAGAACCAGCACCTGCAGGTTTGTTTGGTTGGTTTTGGTTTTCGAGACAGGGTTTCTGTGAATAGATCTGGCTGCTCTTGAACCCATTCTGTAGACCAGGCTGACCCTGAATTGAGAGAGCCCCCCTGCCTCTGCTTCCTGAGTGCTGAGATTAAAGGCAGGCATCACCACCACCACCTGGCTAGCATCTCCATTTGTGTAGACTGGGACACACATCACAGAAACTGCAGCAGAGCTACTAAAGTTCTGTGACCCCAGACTTTTTTCCTAGCTTTCTTCATAGTAGAAAAAATTAAAAAAGAAACTGAGCTATCTACAAAAGAAAACTGGTCAAAGAAATTGTACTGCAGCCAAACTGTAGAAGGCTCTGCTGGGGGTGAGAGAACCTTCCTTACTGGTGAGATCAAATTCCCGAGTTAAGTCAGAAGAATGAAGTTACTCTGTGGATGGTATTCCCAGTGCCCTCAGAATGTGGGAAGGGATATACGGACACATGAACTATTCTTGGAGGATGGCCAGCCCAGCTATTTCCTGGGAGGGAAGTGGAGCTGGGTGGAAACCAGGTTTTCTACTTTTATTTTTCATGTCTAATTATTATTTGGATGTTTATTTTTAAAAATTCCGCGTGTGTATGGGTGTGTGTGGAAGGTGGAGGCCAACCTCAGATGTCTGCCTTGTTTTTTGTCTTTGATTTTGGGTCCGGCTCACTCACTGAACCTGAAGATGGCCCATGAGGTCAGACTATTGGATAGACAAACATCGCCTGCCCTCCTGCATTGGTGGAGGGGGTCTGGGGTTAACTTAATTGGTCATGATTGTGCAGTCAACATTTTACCCCCTGACTCATCTCTCAGCTCCTAATCAGATAGCTGATGAGAATCCATTTGTATAATTTAAAAGTGTAAGCAGTAACAAACCTAGGAGGGCCACCAGGCACCAAGTGACAAAGACAGAGGTGAAGAAATGATAGATGGCACAGCAGCAAGCCCCTACAGGAGACACTCTTGGAAATCTGCACAGAGCTCCTTCCCAGGCTACCTCCTTTGCCTGTGCCCACGGTCCTCAGTTCTTCATCTCCGCCTTATAGCTGGTTATCACACAAAGATGACTTCTCACTATCAGATGGGGGAACAGAGACACAGGGCATGTTGTGACTGTCCAAGGCTGCGCAGGTGGAGAGGAGGGATGCTGGGTTCTGGTCAGGGGGTTAGTCCTGCATCTCCTCACTGCTGGGCAATATGGTCAGCTGCGATCTGAGGACTTGCTCTGCCTGGCCTTTCTCTAGCCTGGCACTACTGTGTGTGTGAACCTGGGAGACTATGTCCCTGTGGTTGAAGTAGACAGACTGTGCGTGAACCCTTGTGGGAAGGCGACTGAGAGTTGTTTTAATGGCGTTTGTTAACTTAAAACATAAGTTTTGGTGTAGTGTTTTATTCATCAATAGAAAATCAAAATTAGATCCAACTGCTTGGCATGGCCTACAAACCTTGCATGATTTTGGCTATCACGTATAGTGGCACACAAGGCACACAAGACTTTACCTACTCACTAAGCTCCAGCCACCCTCCCTGAGGCGCCCGCACACCAGACCTTTCCTGACCTCACCTCACTGACTACTCTTCACTGTCCACTCTACCTGGGACAGTCATTTCCATTTGGGTCACAGTATGGCAGACTTCCATCCTCTCTCAAGATCCATCTTAAATATCTCATCCTCTAGAGAATCCTGGGTCACCCTAATAAGTTGGTCACTCACCCTAGCTTTTATTTGTGTTCGTTAGGGTTTTTTAAAGGATCAAAACTTCAAAAGTGTTTAAGTGATATGCCCTGTCAGTTTAAACTCCTTTCAAAATGGAGTAATGGTCAGACCCAGGGATAGCTTTACGATCTTCTGATTTCAGCCCCAACCTCTTAGAGACGCGCTTGTGGGGGTAGGGGACATCTGAGTACTGAATGGTGTCAACAGAAAACAAACCAACAGTCTAAAAGGACATTTGGAATTTTCCAGTCTTAAAACGTTTGTAAGATAGAAACTGAGCATGAATAAGTGTTCCAAAGCCCAGAGTCTAAGTGAATTTGGTCTTTCTTTTCTAGTCATACACCAACACTTCACATCAGTGATGTCAGGATGCTGCTGAGAAAGGTGACTGCTCAGTTTTGGGAGGCTGGGGAGATGGGCAGTGGAGTGCTTGCCGAGGACCAGAGTTCCAGTCCCAGCCTGCACCGCAGGATACACACTCTTTGCTGGCTTCAGCAGGTATGCACATGTGTGTGTGTGTGTGTGTGTGTGTGTGTGTGTGTGTGTATGTGCGTGTCTGTGCGTATGTGTGTGTGTCTGTGCATGCTCTATTTTCAAGACCCCACAGCTGTGTATCTCAAGGACATAGGAGACCACTCTGAACCACTCTCTCCTGCTGCCCCTGCTGATGTCACACTCAACGTGTGCATACTGTGGTCCAATACCAGTAATTACTATGCTTTTTATACACGAGCGATAGAAATCCTGCAGAAAACAAAAGTCCTGCTGGCTTTTATTGTATGGTGTCATAGCACACTGTGGTTATTATGTTACTGGACTTCTTGGATAGGGACGGGGTCTCATGGAGCAGTCTAGTCTAGAACTGCCTCCACCTCAGTAGAGCACTTGGTCTGGTAGCCGTCATGGGCTCACCTTTACTGGGGACCTTCCTGACTTCTGAGGGTCCAGCTGACCCTGAAGGACTCCCCTCAGCAGGGCACATCTGGAGGAAAACAGCTGTAGCTTGTGCTTCAGGCTCAAGTGTGGCTCTCCAGATCCCTGTTGAAACTTCAAGCCCAATGCAACAGCAATAATAGGTGGGGGACTTTAGGAGGTGTCGACACCCTGGGGTTCACAGTGATGATGGAAGGCAATGCCTTTACAAAAGAGTTCTGAGGAATGGGTTTAGTTCTTCTGTTAGCTTCCGTGGACCACAGACTGCCATGTCGGAGATGGCAGGTACCGCCTTCTTGGTACCTTGTTCTTGACTGGCCAAGCTTCTACAGTGCAAGAGGTCTGTTCCTGTGATTTATAAATGATGCGAACCAAGGTGTTTTGTTGGAGAGCAAGAAGGGCTCTATTTCCCATGCCCATACAAAGGACACCTCTTGTTTTATGGGACTGTGGACTGAGATCGGTGGTTATTGATCATTTTTAACAGGGCAAGTCACTGGCTTTCAGAATCCCAGGTTTCTGAGGGATTAAGCAGAAAGTTGATATGACACCTCTTCCTCACATGCCCTGGGATGTGTTGGAAACAGAGCATCTTGTTACAATATCTCAGTGTCATGAGGTACCATATCCTTTAAATCTACCAAAATTACCACGAACAGAACTAAATATCCTGGGTGCAGAGACGATGAGGTCTGTGAAAGCCAAACATAGTCATAAGCCATTGAATCAGCCTAGGCTAACTTCTTAACTAGTAAATGCCAGTGTATCATGCAGAGAGCACCAAGTTTCCTGGACCTATTGTTGTCACAGTTACTATTGCTCGTTATTCAATGTAAAACGTCTTTGTCACGGGTCAAATGTGCAGTGTCTTGCACTGTCTCTCGTGTTTGAACCCTTGGTCTACTTGGACAGTACTATTTTGAGAAGCTGGGAAACCCCTGATGTGTGGCCTGGCTGGAGTCAGTGAATCCTTTGGAGGCCTGGGAGACTATCGATGCAGTGAAACCAGTTCCCACACACATTCTGCATGCCAGTGCCACCAGCTGAGCCTTTCTTAAGGTGTTTCCTGTCAGGGATTTGGGAACAGCCATTAGAAAAGAACTAGAAAATCTCATTATTGGCTGTGAATGTGTGTGACCTCACCAGGAGCCACTATGAAGAGTTGAAGACTGTTCATATAGCTGGGGCATGGTCTCCTCCCCACACTGCAGAGAAAGCTGGTACATGGTGGGAGAGCAATTGTTCAGACTTCAGTTCTGACAGACATGGAGAGTGTTCATCTAGAAGAGGTAGCCAGGAATTAAGTTGACCCATTGTTTTTGGACCTCTTCTTCTCAGCAAACTGAATTAACTGCTGTTTGTAAACTTTGAAAACTTTGTGTCCTTGTCACTAAACCAGACTTCCTTCCCTGAGGACCAAACCTTATGCTTGCTAGGCAAGCACTTTCCCATTGAACTAAGTCTCCAACCCTTGCTCCAACATTTTTATAGTCCTCTGCAGCCAATGTTTAAATGAATACGAACCTAAGAATTTTAAGATAGAATATACTCTTTGTTCGGGCAGGGAGATGGAACTAAGAAATTATTTTCTAAAACAAAAGAAAAACAACACAGGCTTTAAGTTTGCAGAAAGGTTAAAGAGAGACTGCTGAACCAAGCATGATGCTATACAAACAGATTCTTTTTCAGGAATGTGGGCTCCTGGAGGTTTATTTCATTAAAAAACAAAACAAAACAGACCCATCCCCAACAGGACCATAGCCCTCACAGCAGCAGCAATCACAAGGCACGTATGAAATAGAAACATTAAAAATGTCACAGATCACTTCAAAAGATGCCGGTCACTGTAACATGAATGCACATCATAAAACGACCTTTAGCGACCCGATTCTCTGCCTATGCACACGAGAAGGAATCGACCTTTAGCGACCCGATTCTCTGCCCATGCACACGAGAAGGAATGGCGGCCTTCCTTCTATGTACATGCTCCATGGCAAGTATCGCAAGCCTTACACTGCTCAGCATGCTCACCAAGGAGAACAGCAGCCAGTGTACAGCTCGAAGGTCACTTTCAGAGCATCCTGTTTTTCTGAGGCATCAGCAATTTACAGGATGAAAAAAGTTCTCACTTTTCTCAGCTTAGAAAAAGCCCACAGTTCTATGCTCCCAAACAAAACCACCATGAAAAAGGACATCTGACAAATTCAAAAATACCCAGGGCATGATCTGTATTTGGGGACCAGAATAATAACCCTCTTCACAAAACCGACTAGAGAATATATAAAAATATAAAGTCAATTACACAAAAATAAAATAATGTTTGATTCATATTATTGCTTAGGAAGCAGTATGAATATTTTCTATTAAGAGAAGCTCACATTAGAAATGACAACATCAATAATAACTAGTGCATATAAGGCTCTAGGATTCCAATATGCTATATGAATTTTCTAACTCTCAGAAAGTGCTCTCCGCATAGCAGCCACCATTGAGCTCTACCTGAGGGACTGGGAAGATGCAGTTGACTCCCTCTGCCACAGTTAACTGTGGTACACGAGAGCTCCTCTTAGCTGCTAAGTCCTTTTCTACAAAATACGAAGGAGTGCTTATTGGATCATTACCACAGATGGGAGAAGAAAACTGAAGCTCCAGTTTGAAACAAAAATGAATATAAATGACAGATAGTAAAGCATCCAAACAGACCCAATGGCACAAAGTAAATAGCAGTTATATGCTGTCATCTGTGTTCTTCTAAAGTCAGCTCCTGCCTTTATAAAAAAAATCCATTCATTAGTTATGTCTGTGAACTCAAGTCACAGCTGCATGGCGGGCAGCAATCCACTCCGTGGGCAGCTGGAGGAGTCTGAGCAGTTCTGCCCGCAGGTGATGTGGCAGGAAACACCGGGCTGCACCCTACAGCAGCACAGCCTGGGCAGCCTCCCTGATGGTGGACGCAGCCCTCTCCAGCTCTTCCTCTGTCTGCTCCACCGTGACCACAACCCTGATGCTGAGAAAGACAAAAACACAGTGAGGTGGAGTCACACACCAGTGCTGGGGACTGTTACAGTTCTTCAGGAAGCCCAGCTGCGGTCCCTCCACCTGCGGCTGCAGCAGCTGTGAGAGGGATCTGCAGCCTAACACGTCTCTGTGGCCATGGGCAGAGCTATGCCTCCTCCCGTCTCCACTCACCTGCATCTAGTCCCAGTGCTTTGTCTTGGGACAGTCACTGAGGCTGGGAAACTAAGTCCTCTCAACAACCTACCACTATAAGCAGTCCTGGTCCATAGCAGGAACTCAACATTTCTCACACCAGTGACTTCCTGGTTGTTCCTATTTAATAATTTGGTTGGAAACAGGAATGCCTACATCAGAACACAAAGCAGACATTCTCAAGTTCTTTAGGAAACAGGCGGATGAGGCAACACTCCGCCTGCCCTCTGCCAACACTGGCTTTAAGCACTAGGCATGATCACCAAGGACAAGTAACAGGGATGGCTCCTGTCTTAACTCTGTGCTCTGACAAGGAAGCACAGAAGCACAGGGAAGGTGGGCACAGGACAGGACAGAGTCAGAACATTAAGGCATTCCGAGCAGGCTTCAGTGAGATCGGTTCCCTTCTGGCCTGCATGTGAGAACCCTCCACCCAGCAGGGAGTCTGTGCCCTAGTCCACGGCATCTTTTATCTGTGCCCTAGTCCATGGCATCTTATGTCTGTGCCCAAGTCCATGGCATCTTATATCTGAGCTCCAGGTTGTGCCTAGAGGTGTTAGCCATTGCACAACCCTTCATCTGCTGAAGAACACGCTGCGCTCAGCAGGTCCTCTTGAGCAGACACTGCTTGGCCCGGGGTTAGACCACACCCCAGCAACCCTCTACAAATCCAATCCAGTGATTCCACTCAGCCAGAACCCTGTAATACCTATGAGCTCAGGATATTAGCCTACAGTGTGGCAAAGTCACGTACAGCAACCCAACTTTATGTGTCATGCTATTAGACTCCGCTAAGATGAACAATCCGATTCTTTCATGGGAGAGCTTTCCCACCATGGAGAATCTGAGGGCAAATCATCAGAATCTGGGACTGCCTGCACTTGGTTCTCTGAGGTCAGGGCGTCACCTGTTCTGGGAAGCCTCAGCACCATGCCCGTCTCCTCTGTGACCTCTGACCCAGGGCTGTGGTGGCCAGGGTGTGCACGTCCTCTGATCAGTGCCTGCACTCTGAGGTCACAGTTGTGTCTCAGCAGCCTGTTTGCGAGTCCCCATTTCCCCCTTTGCTTTGCAGTCCTACAGTGGCTCTGGTGTCCAGAGGATGATGCACCCAGGCTCCCACCAACACAGCTAGGAAGGTGACCACATCCAGGCTGCTCCTTCTCGCGAGAGGTCTCACGGCTCACTTTACAGCTGGACTCCAGCTGTTATTAGCAGCTGAGAGTCTGTCATCAGTTCACATGTCACCAGATGATCCTTTGAGTCACCTAGGACACTCAGTCCCATGATGCTTTTCAGTTAAGATGAAAACGCATCTGGCTGAGAAGTGAACCCAGGTAAGTGCTATACTTTAAGGACATCTTATCCCGCCAGAGTCTTTCAAGTTTCCCATCACGCCATGTTTCAGAGAGTGTAAAGCGGGAAGGTGCACTGTGCTTCAACATTAACCAACCTTGGAGGAGGAAGGCACTTCTCTTCCTTGTCCAAGTAGCGCGCCTGAGTCAAGGCGATGCCCTCGTTCATGCACTGCAGGGAGAAAGGGACAGTAACAATTCAGACGCAGACCACAGTGGAGAGACTCTGCCGAGTCACAAGTAGCTGCCGTTCATACTTCCATTCAGAGTTCCAGGAGACAAAGCGTATGTGCCCCCACTGCACTCTCAAGGTGAATTTGGACTCAGACCTTCCTGTGATGATGGACATCTGGTGACTACAGAGAAATGGCTAGGTTCCCTTGAGACTGCAAATCTGATTCTGCACACTTTGACCCAGGGGCCGCTAGCGTCCACCATTTCAGACAGAGCAGAATGAGGACACAGGGAGGCCAGGAGCAATGCCCTCTGTGTGGACAGTGTTGGCAGGACTGCAGCAGAGAGCAGCTTAGGAGTAAAGGCACAGTGAGACCGTGCGGGGTTCCACCTTGGCAATGTGGCCAGGCACCAAAGAGTCGGCACTGACGGTTGCTCTGAGCCGTCCCATGCATTAAGCACCCATTGAGTACCTGTATAACTGAAAAGATCTCCCCTGGAAACAGAATGCTAGAACCCCCAGCGAGGCAACAGTTTGTGTACACACACAGGCTTCCTATTGGGTAATGGCAAGTTTTGGAATTAGATAGTAATAGCTGCAGAATCTTGTCCCTACAGCAGAGGCTGCTGAATCGCAAGCTTCCAAGGGTTGTATGGACTGTATTTACTGTGTGTGTACGCACACACCTAAGTGCGCACATGATCCACAGGGCAAGGCATGGTACATAAAGGAAGACAATGATGACCTCAAATGCCCAGAGTAAAAGCATCAGCCCAAAGAAAGGTGACCGCAAGCTTGGAGGAAGAATGGGAGACCATACAGACAGCAGTACAGCCACGTGCTCACCAGATCCAGGGAGGAAACTTGGAAGCCTGCCAGCCTCCTGACATCTGGCCTGGCTCTGTGTCTAGCCTGGCTCATTAAGAGACATCACAGAGCAGAGCTGTCTGTGAAAACAATGTCCTGTGAAGCAACTCAGTGTAAACTTGGCGAAAGTTCTCAGGTCTGCAAAGAGCAGTAAGACATACTATACCCTGATCCTCTTTCTCCAAGTACAGGGAAGAAGAGGGGTGTGGGGCAGGAGGTTGGGAAGATGTAAGAGGGGAGGCTGTGGAGAAGCTGTGAGGCTCTGTGTCCATGCTGGACTTCTCAGGGTGGTTTCCCAAGAGAGCCAGTGACCTAAGAGAGTCTGCAGACCAGACATGAGCTTGGGAACTGTGAACTGTTCATGGGCTTGTATCTCTTATTATTGTTTGGCTCCTGTGTGTGCAACATTTATGTGTGTATGTGGAGGCCAGAGGACAACCTGGCTGTTGCTCCTCAGGCACCATCCACCTTTTTGAGACAGGGTCTATCACTGGCCTGATGCTTACCAAGTAGGCCACTCTCTCCAATGTTGGGGTCACAAGTATGTGCCGCTATGACTAGCTTAAAAATCAAAAGTGATTGAAATCAGATCCATATGGCTTGAAGTCAGCCAGTGCTTTACTGACTTAGTGTGGTAGTTTTAATGAGAGCAGCCCATAGGCTCATATAATTGAATATTTGGTGTCCAGTTGGTGGAACTGTTTGGGAAGGATTAGGAGGTGTGGTCTTCATGGAGGAGGTGTGTCACCGGGGTCAGGCCTCCTACTTGTGGGTCAAGATGTGAGTCCTCAGTTGTTGTGCTCACTATGCCTTTTGTCCACCATCATGGACTCTAACTCTCTGAAACAGTAAGTCCAAATTAAACACTTTTTTTTTTTACATAAGTTGTCTTGGTCATGGTGGTTTACCACAACAACAGAAAAGTAACACAGTACAGTGAGTCATCTATATAGCCCCCATCTTCAGCTTTTGCTCTGAGAATGTTTGTGCATGCAGTCTGCTCACATGTATTGCTTGCCCATGAGCCCCACGTATCTGGGAAGCAGCTTCACTGTGCTAAGACAAAAGAACAGAGTGGGGCTAATAGAGAGCAGATGCACAGACCACAGTCCAGGGGAGACTGGAAACAACAGGCTCCTTTTATGGGCTCTAGTACAGCCATGCACACAGCTTTTTATAGGTTCTCTGCTCTGTGTGCACTGGCGTGGGCCTACCCATGACAGTAATCCTGTTGAGAACAGCAGACTCAACAGCCATGTGGCTGTAACACAATCCACGAGAACTGTACTGGCCTGTCCATTTAGCTGGTTCTAACCATGTGCATCTGCTTCTACCTTTGTCTAAAAACTCCAACCAGACACTTACTTTCATGACTGCACATGAAAATGCAGGGTAGAGCATGGAGGCAGTACAAGGGTGGAAGAGTGCTCTGTGTCTTTAAGGAAGTCTGTCTTTCCTCAGGCCTGCAGAGCTGAGCCCGAGAGGACATCAGCCAGGGAAGTACTGCTAGCCTGATCATCACACTCTGACATTCCTGAAATACGAATCTTAGATCTGCTGGTTTGTTTAAATACAGCAGCTCCCAAGAGCCGGTGCACCATGTGCAGCCCTCCAGAGTCTCACTTCAGATCACACAAGTAAAACATGCTAGGATGAAGGACAGCCCAGGAAGCTTATGTAACCACAAGAGATCTTGATACACCAGCTGCACACTGAATATCATGTGACCAGCCAGTGCCCTCCAGGCATGCCACAGGGATGGAGGGAGACAGTGGTAGGCATTTTAGTCACTTTTAGGAGCCTGGTGGTGTTGTGCAGGGCAGTAACAGAGTGGAATGAAGCCTTTCTTCTTCCACAAAGGCATAGAAGGCCCGAGCCAGGTTCCATAGGAAGGCTGTATGACCCCAGGTGTGCACATGCCCAGTGTAATAGCACACTGGATATACACTTTCTGCAAGGAGAGGACAAGAGCCTGGAAGAAAGGCAGAAAGGCCTCAGGAGAGGGAGCTACTACTGGGAGGATGAGCCAGGCAACTGTGCAGTAAACACATAGAGTCTACAACTTAGCAGTAATTAGAAAAAACAAAAAATGAAACATTAGTACAATCTATAAAGAGATTTAGTCAGGAGTAGTGGCCCACACCTGCAATTCCAGGGCTCTGGAAGCTGAGTTAGGATGACCTATGAGTTGGAAGTTCAGCCTGGGCTACGCAGTGAGTTTCAGGCCAGCCTGGTGACAGAGTGAGACCTTAGCTCAAAAAATGCAGATGGCAAATGGTCAGTGTCCTGCAAGACTATTCAGGAGAAGCTGAGTAAAGACAACACAAGGCAGCAGCAAGTTCCCAACTTCAGGAGCTGAGTGACCCAAGGGGAGAGGAGAGCTTTAGTCAGCACTTTGGGCACCCTGTGAGCTCAGCTGGCTGGCTGGGAGGGTCGGGGCATTATACAGCCACCATCATGAGTGTGGTGAGCACCTGCACCTGGCACATGCCACCTTTGGAGATAGGGGTGATCACTGCGTAACTGCACACTTACGTGAATGACGATTTCCTTTTGAGGTAGGGGTGATCACTGCATAACTGCACATTTACGTGAATGACGATTTCCTTTTGAGGTAGGGGTGATCACTGCGTAACTGCACACTTACATGAATGACGATTTCCTTTGGAGGTAGGGGTGACCACTACGTAACTGCACACTTACGTGAATGACCATTTCCTGGAGCAGCTGCACATCCTTCTCCCGGGACCCAGTGCTCTCTTCCAGCTGGAGGTGAAGTGCTGGGGAAAGGGACTCCCCCACCACTTTTAAACCAGAAATGCTGCAGAAACAAACACATGTGATATCAGACAGTGCAGTTTCACAGACTTCATACACACGCACGCACGCACGCACGCACGCACGCACGCACGCACGCACGGGTAAA